AGTGTGCTGTCAGGGTAGGGTGTTTCATTCACATAGGGGATCTACCCCTGCCTTGCCGCTTTGCGCTTATGCTTTTGAAAGGGCTCGTCTAGGAATCGGGGGGGGGTTGGTATGGTTGCTCGAGTGTGGCTGGGCTATAGCGATAAGAGTGTGGCTGTGGTCGCTTCAATAAGGGCTACCGCATGTGGGGGCTCGTCGTGTCTGTCTGTTTGGTTGTCCGTCTATGTGTTACAAGTCCCACTGTCGGCATATAGGTTTTGCAAAAAGTAAGACGGAGCAATTTTATGTCCGTATAGTGAAGGATTTGCCGGAGCAATATTAAAGCTAACATCAGTTAAGTGTCAGGAACGATCAGCAAAAACAAAATAACAAAACACAACAGAAGTTTGCAGGAGTCTCAAACTGTATAAAACACGTTTATCCTGGGTGGTGGGTTAGAGATGTCCCCTTGGGGTATGTGGTCCGAGTGCCTCAAGTCGGTGGACTGGCGGGTAGTGGTCCCAGAGGTTCCCTCGGGGTGAACTCCCGTATGGTAGCTGGGTTTATCCTGGACAGTCCCGATCTTTTTGTGAGTGCAGCTTGGAGTATGCCCGCGGATGTCAGGAGTGATTCCAATTCTTGGTAGCTCTGCGCTTTATGTGAGGTCCCGTTATACGTGAACAATACAGCTCGTGGGGTTCCCCATCGGTAGGGAAGCTCCCTGGCGCAGAGGTGTTGTAGTAGCGGCTGCAGTGATTTCCGCCAGGTAAATGTACTCTTGGTGATATCCGGGAAAATCGTTAGAGTGGTGTCCTCAAACGACAAGGGAGTTGTACCCCTTAGCGCAGTTAGGAGCGCCGCTTTGTCCGATAGGCTCTGAAATCTTAAAATGAGGTCCGCAGATGCGGTTGCTGGAGCTCGGGTCGGCTTTAGTAGTTGGAACATCCCGTCGAGCCTCAGGGACTTCGCCTGTTTTGGTGGGAGCAGGTCACCCAGGAGGCGCCTGATGTAGTGGGGTATATCGGGGAGGCCCACCGAGTCAGGTTTCACCTCGGATTTTTAGATTGTGACGCCTCTTTTGTCCTCCAGTGCATCCAGGCGGTTTGCTGTGGCATGCTGCTGTTTTGCTAGATTGGCTACTTGTTGTTCTACCACAGTTAACCTGGAGTCCTGGGTACTCGTGCAGGCCTCCAGCTGAGTAATTTTCGACTGGGCCCCTTCTATGGCCACTTTATAGTAGGCCATGTCTGCAGCCAAGTCTTTGTGTAATTCAGCCAGCATTTCCTTAAGTTGGCTTACAGTGACCGGGTCTCCGGGTGTTTTGGGCTACGTTTTGGTGTAGGCCCGAAGGACGCTCCCTCCATAAGGTCTGTGTCAAAGTCCTTCGAGTACGAGGCGAGATCGTCCTCCAGCGCCATCTTGGACCATGCGGCCTTTTGTGTGTTTTCCGCAGCATTTCGCCGATGTCACAAGACCAATCTCACCACTGGGCATTGGAGGAGCCTGGTTGCCTGCCTGCTGCCTTTTGACTATGGACCGGCATTTAAATACTTTATTTTCCTATGCAGAAAGGTCTATTCCTGTATTTCTGCCCTGGCGTTCGGTAGATTCTCTGATTTACTGAATGAACTCATTTAACCCAGATAGCTATGCCATGGAGCCTATTCGTGTAATAAAAGACTTTGGCTCCATGGCGATTGAACTGTATGTGTGTGGGCTGAGCGCCATTCAGTAATAATGTGTGCTCAGACCTAAGGTATCTGGGGATATGTTGCATGTCTGTATTTTATGTAATAAATGTAACCTTGTGTATTTTATTGTATTTTACTGTCTTTTTACTGCCATGTGCTTAATGGAGTTTTGCCTCTGTCCTTGGAGATAATTGAATTACTTCCCAATTATCTCCAGGATAGAAGACTCTGTGGAACTGGTTTTGGGCAGAAAAGCCATGCTTCATTTGGTCACAAAGGACTTCAATCTATCTTTTGAACCAATGGACCAATATGGATGATTTTGACATATGTTTGTATTTGGAGTATTCTGAAAATGTAAGTTTTATGTGAATGTGACGCATACTTTTCAAGTTATGAATAATGTGGAAAAACTGTATTTCTCTGCCGGTGATAATTACATTACCCATTGTGTAAGGTAATTGTATCACAGGCAGAGGGGAGGATTTTGTGTGGGAGTGTCTGAGTGTATTGTACGTGTTTATTGGTTGTTTTCCAAAACCCTGTGGGTGGTACTAATGTGTATATAAGAACAATAAACCCACAGCTCTGTCTGTTCCTGCTTGACCCTCAAAATGGAGCCTTCTTTGGAGGATTTATTGTATGCTGTTCCAGTTCGACTGCTAGGAGTGTAAACCTATTCGTATGGTTTTTCCTATTCAGCTGTCTACAGCATTTGGCTGTTTACGGCATTCATATGGTTTCCTGTTCGGTGGATTGGTGTTCTGCAGTAGCTGTGCCTGTGTCTCTGGAAGGGAAGATCTACTAAACGGCGGTTTAACCCTTTTATGCCTTGGGGTGCTGTTACAGCCGATATCCCTTCCAGGAGGGCTTTTGTCAGCTTTTGCTTACTTGGATTTTCTACCTATGTTCTAACTTAAAATTGGATTGGATTAATCATTTTTTCTATAGATCTACCCCATTGCTTACTTCCACTAAATACAGGCAATCAATACACTTAGGATCTGTTGGTATTAACATTATTCACTTTGCTATTGCTTTATTTGTCTGTCCGTTATAAGATTATACAATAAAGTTGTATTGAATACCCATGACGCATTCACGCACGTAGACGTCGTAACACGGAAGTGGAAGAGGAATAAGGGGTGGATGCGGCGTGATTTAGCCGCCCAGGATTTGTATATAAACTTTTTTTATTTTGTTGAACAGACTGCAGGGGCCTTCGAAGGGACGTGCATGTCCCGAGCGCGCAGCCCAAGTACTGTCAGCGATCTTAAGCCAGATGCACACAGACATATGGCGGTGAGGTGATCTTCAGATGAAGTTGCAGCAGGAACAGTGTTTATAGAAGACAGCTTTGAAACAGCTAACCTGCTGGAACACATTTACCCTCTACAGTATCTATCTACTATCAGAAAATCCTCCAGTCTCTTCAATTCTTCATACAAAAAGGATATTTCAATTGGTGAGATCCACCCATATATAGACATTCATATAGTGCACTATATAATCTTTTTGGACTGTTGTACACAAGGACTTTATTTTGCATTTTTTACTCTTATTTTTTTCATTTTTTCCTTTTTTTGTCTTTTTTTCTTTTTGTTCTTTTTTTTTTTTCTGTGTATACAGACAGCAGCAGGTTGTACCATTTTGGATACTCCGCCTTGAGACTATTAGTGGGATCATTACCAGCTGTATATATATCCATATCATGAATTTAAACAGTATTTATGGAGGTTTTTTTGTAAATAGCTATTGTACATAGGATGAAATGCATGTTACTCTATTTATCTTCTATATTTTTATATATTGTAACCATTAATGAATTTGATAGTTAAGAGTATAATAAATTAATTGCATTACTTTCCACATTTATCTTTGATTTTGAGTGTGGTATTCATATTTATTTTTTGATTGATATTATGAGGCTTTATTAGGGTTAACCTCGAATACCTGCACCTTAGACGTGATTGAGTGCCAGCACATGTTGTATTTGCATGTTCTAACTTACGTCAGTAGTCGGGTTTATAGGTAGTTTTGCGTTCAGATTCCACCATATAGGGTTCTTTTAAGGTAAGTTTGAGTCGGAGCTCACAGAGATGCGACTGCTCCGTTGCGCTGCTGGCTCCGCCCCTTATTGTTTCTTATTTATTGACAGATTCAATACTATTATTTTATTTGATTCTATTTAAGAATCTTTTCTCCTCAGTTTATCTATTTATGTTTATTATATGTCTGTATATACATATTGTTGTCTCCCAGGGTTCCAGACCTTCTGTGTAAAATATCTATCTGTGCACTCTCAGTTTGGCTTTTAAATGATTTCTTATCTCTTATCTCTTTTTTTCTCTCCATCTCTCCTCTCCCTGTCCTCTGGCGCAATTTTGCCACCAGCATATAGCAACATTCGCCTATTTGCCGCTTTCGACTAATTGGTTCGTGCGGTTTATTCATTCGTCTGTTTTACATTCGTCTGTTTTATTCACACAAATTCGCCTATTTTACCGCATAAATTCACTGGTTTTTGATGCGAGACTCGCGGCGGCCATTTTCCGACTTCCTGTTTCTCATACTACCTTGTGTGTGTCTGTGTGCCTCTGGTCTGGACCCTGGTGAGATCCCTATCGTTCTCTTTCCCTATAGTTTGGGTGACTAACCCTTACTACCCTGTAAACTCACTAGTAGGAATATTGAGCTGCATCTAATATGCCCAAACCCACGATGCCTTCCAGCTCACCACCCTCTGGGTTGATCGATGCCCCTTTGCCTCTGGGAGAGACCATCTATGACACGCCATCTACTCTGGCAGATAGACCCACCCAACCCGAAGGGGACCAATTCTTGGCGCTACAGCGCTCGATGACAGATGCCATTATGGCAGCCATGGGGTCCATGTCTTCTACCCTCTCCCATACCATCTCCCAGGCCCTCCTGCCACGTCTTTTGGACGCGCAAATGTCAGGTTCCACGACTCCTCTTCCGCGTCCCACTGTGGACCTGTCTGAAGTCCAAACACCTCTCTGCCTCCAGAACGGTTACGACTAGCATATGTACGGTCGCCCCAGAAAGCGTGTCCCACCCATGCAAAAGAGTCTTTCCGCGCCATGCAGAAAGGGCGCGGCTCTGGAAATGTGCTAGAGCACAACCTGAGAGTGACTCCGACTCAGAAATCGGATCAGGTGAGGAGGCTATGATTGAGTCGGATGACAACTCTGATATTGAGACCACTGAGCTGTGCCTTGATCTCCTTCCCTCTGCTCAGGCAGAGACGTCCGGAGGTGACACTGGGGCACTTCACCCCGCAACTGCGGAGTCCGCCCTCTTGTATCCGTTGGCCGAACCTCTCTTCAACCCGGATGAGCTTCCTCATCTGAGGTCGGCGGAGTGGCTCCCAGCGGACCATGTAGCCAAGTACCTTTAAAATTGGGTACGACACCCCCTCAGTAAAGCGGCACGGAACAAACTGAGGGCAGATTGCCCAAGGCTTACGGTGCCAAATAAAGTCTGTGATACCCCTGAAGTTGATCCGAAAATGACCCAGTTCCTAACTAAATTGGACACGTAAGGGTGACGACTCTGATATTGACACCACTGAGCTGGGCCTTGACCTCCTTCCTTCTGTTCAGGCAGAGACGTCCGGAGGTGACACGGGGGTGCTTCACCCTGAAAGCATGCCAGGATAAACATTTAGACATATTTGGCCCACTGGCAAAACTTTTCGAACTGGCGGAGGATGACAGAGCTGGAAACCGTATGGTTGACCCCGAAGACCTCCGTGGTTGGGTCCAAAGGGCTATTTGTATTGCCGGGAGCGTAAACACCTCCTTCTCTATTGAACGGCGTAAAACCATTTTGTTTAAAATAGAGCCTAAACTGGCCAATCTTTCCCTAACAGAGGCTGGGAAGGACGCCCAAGGATTACTATTTGGCGACTCCTTCATAAAACACCTGGGGCGCTTTGTGGGGGCATTTACGGCCCTTGACAAGGCCCAAGCCTCCATGAGACGGGTTTTTCAGGGACGGGTCTCCACCAGGGCCGTCAGATCCAGGAGCCGTCTGTCCGGCCGGTCCTACTTTCAGTCCTGTGGTTCTGGACGAGGCTCTTTTCAGCACCGCCCCAACCCTTTCCCTATTCTTCCCATCACGCGGACGCCCGTGGCGATCCAGAGGCTTCCGTGGTAACACCAGCTCCAGAAGACCTTATGGTGTGTTTACTCATACCTCATGTTTCTTCGCATGTTTATGTAGGGGGCAGACTCCAAAATCTTTTCCCAGCCCGGGCTCAGATAACCTCCGACCCATGGGTACTAAACACCATTCGAGGTTTCCACATAGACCTTGTAGGGAACCCTGTAACTATCCCTCCTCCTCGACCGATCTGCTTCTCCCTCCGGGATCGCAGGTTGATCGACGACGAGCTATCCTCGCTCCTCACCAAAGAGCGATAGAAAGGGCACCCCCGGGCTCCATTGGAGTCGTAAGCAATATTTTCCTAGTGGAAAAGAAGGCAGCCAAATGCGCCCTGTCATAAACCTGCGCCCACTCAATGCTATGGTCAGGTACCGCCAGTTCAAGATGGAGGGTATCCATCTGCTGAGAGATCTACTCCTTCAGGGGGACTGGTTGGTAAAGCTGGATCTTAAGGATGCATATCTCACCGTGCCTATAGCTGAAGCATCCCGAGATCTCCTGCGTTTCCATTGGCGGACAGGGACTTAGAGGTTCACATGCCTGCTCTTTGGCCTGTCA